GGAAGATTACTCAGGATTTGTAAATGGAAAAATTAAACTCTGGAACAATCATTTTACAAATGAATCTATTTCTGATTGCCGTTATTACAAACTGTATTACTTTTACTTTGATAATGTTAATAAATCTTTCTTTCATTATTCAGTAAGACATGTGAAATAATAATAGTGATGGTATTTTGGAAAATGAGTGATTGCGCCAAAATACATGGAAATATAGTATACGACCTAATGATCTTTGTATGCCTCAAAACTTACAGGAAGCCATACATTTACCGATACGTTCAATGTTGTTGTACAAGCATCGTTACTTTGCTTTACTTACTTACTTACGCATGTTACACCTTGTGGAGGAGCATAGACCGCCCACCAACATTCACTATCCAACTCAAACAGCGTTAGTTACACTTTAATGATAAGTGTTGAAGATATTGAATCATGATTGAGGAAGTTTGATCCATAAACCTAAATCAACTAGACTTCAATATTTAATTTTACAGAGGCATTTGCAAAAAAAACATATTCACTCTTACCTTGTTATCATTAGCGGATCACGATTAAGATCTAATGCATATTGAATTCCGGATGAATTACAATTCTGCAGAGAATTTTCTCGTTCATTGCGACTCGTAAAACATCGTGCAGATGGTGTAATCCAAGCTAAAATCTATAAAAATCAAAAGAACATCTATGATACAATACACAAATTCAGTTATTAGAGTACAAACCAAATCTGTTTTCAAGGGCTAATCATATTTTACGATTATTCTAATAAAGTTTAGATAAATATGATTCAAATAATTAGCATCAGTGGTGCTAATGAAATACTACTGAGCTACTCTATTTCACTGAGAATATAATAGATCTGGACAATATCAATTCATATTTCTTCACAGAAATACTTATTTTTAACTGACTGTTTTACCAAATACACAATCTAGTTGAAATCTATATCTAAAGGAGGTAATGACTTAGATTTATAAATAGTAGAATATTTGCTTACTCATCTCAATACAGTTACTACCGAGTTTACTTCTTTGCTAGCAATAAAAGCCTAAGATGATCTGAGTCACATCTACATATGTGTATGTGAAGCATTTTCTTCTTTATGGCTGGAGTATAACAGCGACTCCCCTGAAGCTAGTCTTTGCTGTCCCACCTGCGTTTAATGTGTTTTACTGATTCAAAGCAACTCCAAGTTGTATTTTATCATTTCTCCAACAATTTGGATGACTCTTCCGATCTGCTACATTGTACATGTACTCCATGTACCTAAATTAATGGTTGCTCTGGTTGTTAGAAGAGGTAGAAGCCTCTTGACTTCCGAAGGAACTTGACTTTCACCATGAGGCGTCATAACACTTCTAAATGAAGACCTCATAACTCCCAGGGTAGAGTTTAAACTGTTTGAATTCTTTTCTCTGGTTTGCGTTTTTTAGCGAGTTATTCTTCTACGGGTCGCTAACTCCATACCCAACCCTCCTCCTTTATTCAGTCTTGTGACCCGCAGTAGCCCCAGAGGGGCTCCAGGCGGAGTTCACATCTACATATAATGACACATAAACTGAAGGAGACAGACGTTGATTAAAAACCTCACAGAAATATGTTATTGTCAAACTATCAAGATAATGTACATTTATATGAAAACTAGCTACCTGAATAATGAAATGAACTATTTTAGCAAGATGATGCTTACACTTAACTTAATACAGAATATTGATGGCTAGTGTGGTTTGTTTAAACAACAAATTCATATAGTTTAGATGTTTCATTTTAGAAGTCTCTATCATATTCAATAGATGATTCGTTAACAACAATAAGCAATATCTATATTAAGCAGATGAATATATCAAATGATCAGTCAGTGAATATAAATATAGTTTAGAAGAAAGCTAGAGGTATTCAAAAGAAAATTCATAAAGTTACTGACTAACGAACTAATGAACTGTGTATGCTTCCCGATTTTAGTCTTCAAGATAATCGTAACCTATGGTTGGAGATTTCCAGTAATATGTTTCATTGTTAACTCTAATCATGCAGCTGAATTTATTCATTATCACTCTACTAATCATGACTTTTTTTATCATTTTATTCTTGACTTTCTTCGATCTCCTTCATTCCTTTAAGCAATATTCATTATGTTTGACGTTCTATTGCAAGGGAAAAAGTAAGCCCCACTATTCTGTTCTGAATGTCATTTATCTTTTGCTGAAATGTAATATATATATATATATATATATATATATATATATATATACTTACACCTGTTACCCCTCGTCGAGGAGCATAGGCTGCCCACCAGCATTCTCCATCCAACTCTGTCGTGGACAGTCCTTTCCAGTTGCTATTCATCCTTTTCAAGCCTGCTTCCAATTCCCAAAGTAATGTGTTCGTTGGCCTTTTCCTTTTCCGTTTGCCTTTAAGATTCTAAGTTAGGGCTTATGGTTTCTATAGTGTAGGTCCTATTCTTTTCCAACGTCTTTTCCTAATTTCCTTTTTAGATGGAAGCTGGTTTGTCCTCTCCCACAGTAAGTTGTTGATGATGGTAACCAACTAACAGATATTGAGTATCTTGTGTGTTAATAAATATTTGTATTTTTTCGATTATGGTTGTAGTAGTTCTCCAAGTTTCAGATCCATACAGCAAAACTTACTTGACATTCACATTGAAGTTCGTACAATTTCTTTCTTTATGATCAAATGATCTTTCAAACTTTTCTTCAACATATTAAAAAAGCTTATTTTTCCTATTGTCTTATTTTGTCTGGTTTCCGTGTTTTTAACTGAATACCTGATTAAATCTTCGATTTAGTTCATTTTTTGACTCATTTTAATTCAAACAATTCTTTACTACATATTCATTCTATTTACTGCTTACTGACTTAAATTTGTGTTTATCATCTATTTTTAACAAGGTATTATTAATAACTCTTGTTAATTGGATGTAAACATGAAAAGGTTGAATAGCAACTGCAAAGAATTGTCCAAGATAGAGTTGGATGGAGAATGCTGATGAGCGGCCTATGCTCCTCTCCACGAAGTGAACAAGCGTATGTAAGTAATAGATTGACCATTATTGCATGTTGCGTGTAATGATTAAGTGCTTATAAGTTATTCACTTGTTACAAATATGGTGCTCAGTGTATCGAAATTTTGAGTTATTACATGGCAAAGTACTTTAAACCAACTTTAATTTACGTTTTATTCCATTCAATTGTATGCAGGAGTAACTAATCATACGATTTGTAGGGACCATTTAGTCAGCCGGAGAACTTTAAAAATAAGGAACTACTAGAAATTCGTATTACTGTAGTTCTGAGACATAATAATCTGATATAAAATCTCTAGATCTTTTAATTAGCCTGGGACTAGTAAACCAATGAAGTGAAAGTTGTTCGAACCTATAAGTTGCCAATTTGAGATACAATCAGATCTTTTTCCGATGTGATCAGTTAATAACTGAGTAATTTTTCCATGGGTTAACTACAGATGTCAGCATTTCCTACTATAACTTGAACATTATTGACCATGTCAGAGTTTATGGCTAGATTTAATCAGAATCGGCAACTTTAAGCGGTGTTCATCATGACTGCTTAATAATCCCACTTTCATTTAACTTTACCACAGACTTTATTTTAAAGACAAGACATTCTTTATTTCGCTTCTCCATATCTGGTCTTTTATCATGAGATTCACATATTAGCCTAGAGTTCGAAAACGATATAGTTGTACTTGGTGAAGACAGTAGAAAAATGGAGTCACCTGGTTTTCTTGATCAACAATCCCAGCATATTTGGAGCATATTTCCATTCTCCTAAACGTAAGATATTTCGTCAGGGCTGATCTCGTTCTATGTGTAGTTTGATCATAGTGACTGAAGTATTTGAGCGCGTTGACCACACGTCTTGAAAATATCATTAGCCTTGGTGGTTTGGTATCTGAAGAAATTTAATTTGACTTTTCACAACTTGCATTTCTTGTAACCTAAGCAAAATGCCCGTCTACCAACCAAGGAACGGGTATACTGTACAACAGTTTATAATTGCGAAGAGCAGTCTTATAAGTAGAGAAAATCGGTATAAAACTAGTATCTGACTGCTGAGTAAGCAATATTGATGTTAGACACAGAATAATAAGTAAAGGTGAAGTAGTGGAATATCAACCATTGAAGTGATTGGAACATATGTCTTAAGTAGGCTTGACAACTGCTTACTTAAGTATACGAGTAGGTTGAATGAAAGCTAGACATGACATTAGTCTATGAAGTCGTTTGCTGTTGAACTGAGCCGTGTTGTTAGATACTCATTATCTGGTTGCAGTCTGAGCAATTGTCGTGACGACTGGCTGAGAACAGTGAGTGATATGGCTCAGAATCAGTCATAGTGTTGCATAAGTATTTAATTATGTCCTTCCCTAAGTGGAAAATTACTGTACACTGTTTCTTTATCAAACTCATTCATTCTTCTCAAATGTATTTTGCATCCCTTATGTTGTTTGCTATCATTAATATCTAAGCATTCATCTTGTGAATTTCATCTCTCTTTGCTAATTTTATGGAGAAACTTGAACCAATAAGCACATAACAGAATCTAAATTGACTACAACTGGCTGATCATGACATCAGACAAAATAGTCAATCAGTGTACACTGAATTTGACTGCTTCTCCAATAGATATTAATCCTTGATGTAAAATATTTTCCGTATAATGATCGGTCCTGAAGAATTCAGTAAAACTGGCATTTCATGATACATTTATGAAACCTAAATACAAGTAATAAATTGCACTGAGAAACTAACTGAAAGGACGTACGCGTTGTATTCAATCTGTTTATAAACCATATTTTATGTAAACAATATCATTCTTGGAACTGTGTCTTATATTCCCCCAACAAATTATAGGTTCTTCAAAATGATCACTAGAACACTAGAGGTTTTAATGCTACTAGTAGGAATGAACAGACTAGATTATAATGAAGTTTATTTATTTATTTAAACACATAAACATAGGTACAAGGAGGCACCAAATATATATGCACCACACTTCGCCATCCGATCTGCGTGAGGGCTGGAACACTGATCGGGCACCCAAACAGAAGCAAGTGGTTTTCCTAGGGAGACACACTCGGAGCCTTTCATCTAGAGATCTAATCTACAAGGTAGCAAAGCAACACTGAAAGATGTGCTTACTAGTGACTAGCTTCGTGAGGGAATTCTCGGAGTTCTAGTGAGAAGCCGTGACCAATGGAGCTAGTCCGTGTCGGATAGAGACAGGCATCTACCTCAGTACAATGGAAGATGGTCGCTCAATTTCGTGGATTGGTTGGTGTTAGACACCAACACCATTGGATACCGACTCAGTGATCTGGTGGTTAAGCGTTCGCGCGCGAGACTGAAGGCCCTGGGTTCGAATGCCACAAGCGGGATCGTGGATGCGCACTACTGAGGAGTCACACAATAGGACGAAACGGCCGTCCAGTACTTCCAGGTTTTCAACGGTGGTCTAACATCAATCGGTTCATGATCTCAATCAAAAACTTAATAATCTCCACAACCCCTATACTGATAATTAACAATTGAGGAGGAAAGCATAGTTTAGATAACAGTAAACGTTAAAAATAAAATAATAAAAATAAAGTGTTGAGATGAGAAACAACAATAAATACCTCATCACGAGAATTTGATACCATAGTTATGTAATTTGGACCATTGAACCATTTACAAATATTTGGACATCGGAATACATTTTTTGTATTATGAATATTCTTTGGTATAATGGCATTATTCGACCATAAAGTAAATACAGTTCGTGGTGACATTCGAACATCAGCTGGAAATGTATATTCATTAATTTTCTCTTGAATATGTTTTTGACAAACTTTATGTAATCCAATATCAATTTCCTTTAGGTATAAATAAATAAACTAATTAACAAGTAAACAGGGATTTGGTTACGAATCAGGATATCAGAAGGGGTTTTAAGGAGATTTTAGTAATTTTAATGGTTAAGATCATGAGTCTATTAAAGCTAAACCACCATGGAAAACCTGGAGGCACTGGACGGCCGTTTTGTCCTAGTATGGGACTCCTAAGCAGCGCTCGTGTGAGAGACTGATAGGCCCTGGGTTCGAATCTCGCGAGGTGGGATCGTGGATGCGCAATTCTGAGGAGCTCTATACTAGGACAAAACGGCCGTCCAGTGGTTCCAGGTTTTCTATGGTGGTCTGGCTTTAATTGACTCATGATTCCAACTATTGTATTCAGATTATATTGAAGTATTTAATTATGATAAACTTGTAGAATACATCGACTTGTGAACCTTTACCAACAAACCATTAGACAAATGATCAGGTATAATCAGATTGACTATAGTAAAAACGGAATACAAAATCAATAATGTGTTACTAATCAATGAACATACATTGTTCGATTATAGTTGATAAACAAATATTTAAAATAATCAATTAGCTAGTCATCTCATTAATGTACAACCTGATGTAAGTACTTATATGTTAAAGTTTACACTTCGTCATAGACAATGTTTTACAGATAACCCACTTATTGTCTGACTATTTAGGGGTTAATTCCCTAGCATAAGACTCATGTGTTGTCTTAGAATAGCTCAATTTTGGTGAAGACTCTGACAATTTGCGTAGTCTTCTAAACGACACAGGTATTTTTGGCGTGTAATTCTTTTCCTCCGAATGCAAAATATTGCTTCAGAAATTGTCTTCATCAACACTTGAGTTAATGATAAGGAATGAAACTAGATTGCGTCAACGGCTCCACTTATCTTGAGTCTCATTAGTCTTGATAGGCTGAGGTCTTACAAAGTTTCAACACAGATTCCGAAAGTTCAATTGATCTTTGTTGGTTTGGATTATTTGTAGCGTCGGTGAGATATCTGTTTACTAATCAAGGAATGAGCTTATTGTGCAGTAGTTTGTTCTGTGTGAAACATGACCATTGAGAATCGATGATATTCACAAGTTATCAGTATTTGATCATAGGTGTATTCGAAGCACGGCTCGTGTAGTTTTAGACTACGGAGTGAGTAATGTTGGAGTTCGAAACTGACACAATGTAAATATTGTAAATCCATTGATAAGCTAGTGAATCTCTATCATCTGAGTTGGTTGCAACATGTACTATTTATTGCCCACCATCTCTTACTTCAAATGGCGATGTTGTTCAGTATATGATTAAGTTGAAACAAAGCAGAAATAGCTAAACAAGGACGTTAAAGCGGTCCATTGACCACTGAACTTATCGTTTTTAAAAAAAAAATAAATGTAGACTACATACTACTAATTGACCACACATAACTACAGAGAGGAAGGGAATTATCAAAACTAGAATCAAAGAATAAGAATTGATTTCAACCGGAGTGAAAATCTGAACATGAGGAAAACGGTCAGAATGAAATCAATGGACTTAAAAATTACAAGAACAACAATGGTGTACAAATTAACATTTAAAGGAGGCTAGAAAATGAATGAAACTATGTCACCGCAACAAATTTCCCACCATGTCACACGACATATCCGATCACTGATAATAAGTATCACTTCAGCCCCAATCAAAAGGACTGCACATACCAACACAGCTTAAACCAAGTGCTTATAACTTGATGGAATAAAATGTCTTGTTTCGAACTTTCCATGTATATATTACTACAACCTGCTACTATGTTGCACTTCGAAGTAGACAACTTCATATTATATGCAAATTAGGTCAATTTTAGAAAACCAAACGAAGGAAAAGTTATCTGTTTCCTGAAAGGAGATAAATGATCACAGTTGAGTTCACTGTTAATTTAGTATAGAGCAGACCAAATTAAGTAATCGTTTTTGTAAACAACGTACGATCAAAAAGATTTGGAGTTAAAGTTCAAATAAATATCAATTGACGAAGATGGATCATTTACATAACGACACATGAAATTGTTCTTTTGTGAAGTCAAAATACAAGATACAACAAGCGCTTAACCATCAGATGACTGACATTCCTAACTTACGTCAATCTGTAATTCATGCAACCATTATTTAATAATGTCAGTGATCAATTGCTCCCAGTGGTTACAGATTTCCACTAAACCTCCAGGAATCACTCCTCGAAATTAGTCACTAACAATTATATTGTAGTGACCTACTTTTATCAAAAGAACGCGATTAGTGTAATGGAAACAATTATTATAACCAATTGTACCAGGGATTGTTTTACTGTACTTGTTTGTTTAACTGTACCAAAATACATACATTCTTCCGTTGATTGTGACCTTGCATGAATTCGGTCACGCTCAGTAACCACACTTATAAACTGGCACGATCTCGGTATTCTTTCGATACCGCGGGAACGCTAACAAATACATCTCGACTAAAGCCATCAAATGCCTTCTGATATTTGGCCTACAAGGGATCTTATCGGTTAACTGGCACGTAGTCTTCCTGTAGTGGTTATCATAGTCAAACGCGACTCGATGCCACACTAGAATATCATCATTATTTTCAATATTAAATGCTTTGTAGAGATTAGGGAATTTTAAAGTTAACATCATGGATTGACTCGAACTAGACAATCACTTAAAACAAAGGAGAACTATGGAGTATTTCTAAAAAAAGGATTTGATACTGATACGCCTGTTACTGCTCGTAGAGGAGCATAGGCCACTCACCAGCACTCTCCATCCAACCTTGTCCTGAGCAATCCTTTACAGCTCTTTCCAGTTGTGTTGTTCATCATTTTCATATCTGATTCTACTTCCCGACGTAATGTGTTTTTTGAACTTTCTCTTTTCCGCTTCCCTTCGGAATTCCAAGTTAGGGCTAGCCTCGTGGCGCAGTTTGATGATTTGCGTAGTGTATGTTCTATCCACTTCCATCGTTTTTTCCTAATTTCCTCTTCAGCTGGAAACGGATTTGTTCTCCCTCAGAGAAGGCTGTTGCTGATGGTGTCTGGTCATTGAATGTTGAGTATCTTGCGTAGACAATTACTTATAAATACTTGTACCTCCTTGATGATGGTTGTGGTAGTTCTCCAAGTTTCAGCTCCGTACAGTAGAACTGTCTTGACGTTCGCATTGAAGATTTTGACTTTGATATTGGTTGACAGTTGTTTTGAATTCCATATGTTCTTCAATTGTAGGAATGCTATCTTTGCTTCCCCAATCATCGCCTTTACGTCTGCATTCGATCCTCCTTGTTCATCAATGATGCTTCCTAGGTATGTGAAGGTTACCACATCTTCCGGAGTTTCGCCATTAAGTGTGATTAGGTTAGTGTTCACCGTGTTGCATTTGAGGATCTTGGTTTTTCCTTTGTGAATATTGAGGCTTACTGATGCAGAGGCAAAGTATACTAAACAACTGTTATTACATAATCTTTATTGGCTTGACCTCAATTTGTAATTTCGTTCAACCACGTACTCGATGTGTATACCAATATAAAGTAACCGAACTACTGAAGTTGTGTTTTTAATGGTAATAATCTTCTTGAGTATTATACGAATGTGTGAATGATTGGCTAATATGTACTAGGTATATACGATCAATAAGGTTAGCGAATGTAGTAACTCAACTAAGTGACTCATCAACAGCGAAAGACTATAGCAATCCTCAGGGATGGAGACCAGGAATTTCATGTCGCGCAGTAAGTGTTGTCTTTGAAACACTGATTTTTAATTCTACTGCAAACATTTTGAACTTCAGATAATTCATGAGAATGACAAATAAACAACCTAATATGATTAGAAATAACAGTCTTTTTCTTCATATGGTTGAACTCTTCTGGTTATGATTTCCCAAAATAATTTTAGGAACTCATCTTGAAGTTATATTACCAGTGAGAAAATCATCACGAATTAAAGTAATCTCGATAATACTGTTCAATATAGACATATTCTTTATAAGTGATGGCTTATGTAAAAGCCCTCCAAAACTAGGGTCAAAAAGTTCTCCAGTACCTTCTGGTTTTTAATATTTCTTTGTAGTGAGACCTAGCTCTATGTTTTGATCAGATAGTATTGAGAAGAATGAATACACCAAAATCAGTGCATCTTTTAAATTTTCAAACTAAAATCATACCATTTAGTTCTAATCCTTTGTTGTGACTCATTAACTTAGCCAATACATCATATTGTTCTGTGTCATAGCGGCTGAGAGCTGGTACTTATTACCGGAAACTGTGAATTGCAAAATGTTATTTAAAACATGAAGACGATGGGTAAGGACTTATTATGCATCAAAAATAAACCAAAATAATGTCTGAATACACTAAATTTTGAGTGATTTATTTACATAGATTAATAGTCAGTTTTTAGATAACGTAATAATTATCAGAATGAAGATTTCTAGAGATTGAATTCATGAGTCAATTCAAGCTCGAGTTCCGTGTGTGGGATTGTGGATGCAAATTGTTAAGGAGTACCCTACTACAACAAAATGGACATCCGGTGTTTACAGGTTTTCAATGGTCTAGTTTAGATCGACTCCTTCACATACCTAGGAAGCATCATTGATGAACAAGGAGGATCGAATGCAGACGTAAAGGCGATGATTGGGGAAGCAAAGATAGCATTCCTACAATTGAAGAACATATGGAATTCAAAACAACTGTCAACCAATATCAAAGTCAAAATCTTCAATGCGAACGTCAAGACAGTTCTACTGTACGGAGCTGAAACTTGGAGAACTACCACAACCATCATCAAGGAGGTACAAGTATTTATAAGTAATTGTCTACGCAAGATACTCAACATTCATTGACCAGACACCATCAGCAACAGCCTTCTCTGAGGGAGAACAAATCCGTTTCCAGCTGAAGAGGAAATTAGGAAAAAACGATGGAAGTGGATAGAACATACACTACGCAAATCATCAAACTGCGCCACGAGGCTAGCCCTAACTTGGAATTCCGAAGGGAAGCGGAAAAGAGAAAGTTCAAAAAACACATTACGTCGGGAAGTAGAATCAGATATGAAAATGATGAACAACACACAAGGTTGGATGGAGAGTGCTGGTGAGTGGCCTATGCTCCTCTACGAGCAGTAACAGGCGTACGTAAGTAAGCTTAGAGCGACTCACTGACATTAATCAAGGAGTAAATCACCATATAAACCAAATTTACAGTATCAGTACATTAAACGATTATGACCAATAGATATAATTAAGTTACTAAATTACGAAATAAATCCCCCTCCCCAAAGTCTGATTAACTGTCATGAATACTTAAAAAAAATTGATCTTTTATATAACTTATATTCCAATAAATTAAGTTCTTTCTCATTATATCATATTTGTTGAATAAATTTACCTTGTTTGTACTTGAATTCCATAGAAGTAAATACTCACCATTGGGATCAATTTCACAAATTTGTAAGTATCCAATAGCACTTCATGTAAAAAAAAGAAATTAATTAGTTTATTTTATGGTTGAATTCTTGAGTCAATTAAAGCTAGACGAACATGAAAAACCTGGAATCACTAGACGACCGTTTGATCCTATTGTGGGACTCCTCAGTAGTGTGCATCCACGATGTTGCCCCGTTGGATATGAACCCAGGGCCTGTCGGTCTCGCACGCGAACGCCTAACCTCTAAATCACTAAGCCGGCATCCAATCATTTTAATGTTTAACTTCAACCAATCCACGAAATTGAGCTACTGTCCACCATTGTGTTCAGTGTTACTATCTCACAACAGACCCACTTGAACTCCACTGGTCACTGCTTCTCACTATAACTCCAGGAAATACCTCTTGAAGCCAGTCATTAGTGAGCATATGTTGAATAATATCAGAGGGGGTTTTGTGTGGTTTTCTATGGTGGTGTAGCTTCAATTGACTCATGAATTCAACTCTAAAATTACCAAAATCTCTACAAAATCCCTTCTGATAAAGGTTTTTTCTTTTTTTGATATTTAATTAATATGAAAAACTTATCAATCGTTTTTTACTTTTCAAAGATGTTGGAAAATAATTCTATGTCGTAATACAAATTTTCTTTAACTTCATACTTTAAAAGATATTTTGACTTTAAGAAATCTCTGCACGGATTCAGAAAACTCGTTTGGGCTTTTGCCAAATTATTTCACCTATGGCGAGATATCCATTTATCAATTAAGGGACGAGTATATTGTGCAGCAGTTCGTTTTGTTCTAATTTACGGCTGCGAAATGTGGCCATTAGAAGTAAAAGATACTCATAAGATACCGGTATTTGGTCACAGATGTCTTACAAATATTGCTACCTGATTCAGTCTGGGTACCCGGGCAGTATCCTGGCCCTCAAATAAATCAAACAATTTATGTGGCGCATATCTATTTGGTGCTGCGTTGTACCAATGTTTATGTGTTTTAAACAAACAAACAGAAATATTGCTCGTATCTACTTGGATCACCGAGTAAGTAATAGTGTGCTTAGACACAGGGTATTAGGGATTGATGGTAAATCAGTCGATCAGGTTGTAAATTTTCACCGACTATGATGGTTGGGCCACGTGTTACGTATGCCTCAACACCGATTACTACAACGTGCAATGTTAACCGGTGTTCGGGATGGTTGGAAGAAAGTTAGGCGCGGTCAAATCAAAACGTGGCATCAGTGCTTGAAGTCACTAACTTCTGGTCTGAGCCATTTTGGTAGATGCAGACTACTCGTTTGGAGACTGTGTGACATGGCTCAGAATCGATCACAATGCCGTAGGTGTATACACTCCCTGTCTTCTTTCAAACCGTGATATTAAAATCGCTTCATATCTTTCTACGAACTAATTCTTTCTTCCTGTATTATATTCTTATAAACAATCTTTCTTTTATATATTACTGTCGTTGAAGTAAAAACTATGAATTTGGTGTTCATCTTGTTGTGTTAATGAGGTATTTATTATTATTTATTTAAACACACAAACATTCGTACAAGGAGGCACCAAATAGATATGCGTCACATAAATCATTCGACATGTGTGAGGGCCGAGGTACTGCCAGAGTGCCCAGAGCGAAGCAGGTGGTTTTCTTAGGAGGCTACACACGGAGCTATTGAACAAAAGGTCTAATCCACATGGTGGTGGATCAACGTGAGAAGATACAGTCGCATAGTAGTCAGTGGTCAACAATCGATTTATAAGCCTTTTTCCCTCAGGATTCTGGAGCCCATGTGCACCATTGCTTTGGAATCAGGGTTTTCCAGCTCCCCCAGATGGTTCTTTCATATCCACCAACCCGGATAAAGCACTGGACATTTACTTTTCACCCTCACAATTTTGTTAACAACAACGCTACCGCCAGAAGGCTAAAACCATATACACATAACCATGTGAGATCATTTGGAGAGGTAAAGTTGACTTTCTCTACCTTCGACCGTACCAGAACATTCAGGGGGCTATGTTATTGATTTTAAGCTTTAAAAAATACTTTAAATTTGGTAGAAAGATCAATATGACACTCGAAAATATGATAATGGTTAACAAATATAAAATAACTGGATTAATATTCTTTTATTCACGTGATTAGTGAACTGAAATAGCTTCATTCACAATTGCTACCATGTCAATTACAAGAGGGAAGATTTAATATACTTTGTTAGCAATAAAAAAAAATTTGTCCTCATTTAACAAAAATAATTCAATCAATATTGATTACTATTCGATAAGAAACGAATATTATTTTTTGTTAAAGAACACAAAAGTGCTGATTACCCTTACTGTTTGTTTGTCTGTTTTTGAGAAAATTGTAATAACAAAAAAAGAGGACAAAGTGAAATAGGAATACAGATATATGAAGTCACTACAGGAAAAACATCGAACTTAAGCTGTTATACTGTAAACATAATAATTAGAATGATAACAGTTCTCATACAGAGGTCTTATGTATGTATCAATTTGAATTTAATAATATCTTCATTAATTTAACCCTGAATCAAGAAGTTGAAATAAATTTTCTATGAAGAACTTTAACATAATAACAAAATTCAGGTCATGAATTGGTTGAAGTAAGACGTTAACACTATTGGATATCGATTCAGGGGTTTAGAAGTGAAGCGTTTGCATGTGCATGATTGTGAATGAGTACTGATGAGGAGTCCTATACTAGGACGAAATGGACGTCCAGTGCTTAAAGGTTTTCAATGGTCTAGTTTAGATTGATTCATGAATTCAACTGTTAAAAATGTAGTTTCATGTAAAAGTTCACGTGTTATGTTAATTGATTGTTTGTTTTGTTTCACATAATGTTTCAAGTTTAGTTATCATATTAAATTTGTCTACCTTCATTGACAAAGTTATTCTTATCCCTATAGGAAATTTATTTTATTTCACAGTTTTGAACACGTGTAATTGTGATTACAAGAAAAAGAAGCAGTAGCCAGTGGGGTTCAAACGGGTCTGTTGTGAGACAGTAACTCACTAAACACAATTGTGGACAGTGGCTCAATTCTGTGGACTACTTAAAGTTAAACATTAACACAGTTGGATGCCAGTTTGCTCAGTGGTTTAGAGGTAAAGCGTTCTCGTGTGCGACCGATAGGCCCCGAGTTCGAATCTCGCGGAGCGGGATCGTAGATCCGCACTATTGGGTAGTCGCACAATAGGATGAAACGGCCATCCAGTGCTTCCAGCTTTTCCATGGTGGTCTAGCTTCAACCGACTCACAATCTCAACTACTGAAAAATCAAAAACTTAGCTTATAATTATTCTTCATTACATCTATGATAGCTAACTAGTGTAATTAAGAAGTGTAACACAAAATACCTTGAAAATGACATTAAAGATTTTTGAACGTTCTTAATAGTCAGTATCAAATTTTTTCAATGGTCTGAATAGTTAAATATATGAATTGTCTTGTAAGTATTGCTAAAACACTATGATCTTTGACTTTTAACAATAGAGTACATTCAAAGCGGTATCGGATTTAATCTCGACTTAAATTTTACTGGCAACATTTCGAAATCATTATCGTCATTAAGCAGTTGATTTTCTCGTCCTTTTTTTAGTTACTCCTTTTCATTTGAACTTTTGCCTAACGTTGATTAATTTCCATACAAAATGACTTAAAACGTATATGAATCACTAGATTATTTGGAATTTATAGAGTAAATATATCACATTTTTCAAATCAACTACGTTTTATCTTTATTTAATCGAAACTTTAAAAAAGACTAATTGCTTAAAACTAGCTCTTACGCTGAAAACTATATTTCAAATTCTGAAAAGATAAAACTGTAAAACAAATTGTTTAGATTCAAAATTATATTGATTACGAATAACGACAACGTTCAGTTGCAAATCATGCGGTAATGATAGTTAGAGTTTGAAAAACAAGTCGTCCATCAATCATCCAAACAGTAATTCATCTTCCCATTGATGTTCAGAACTGCAATGGATCAGTCTCTTATTGGTATATATGCACCTTGTGCATATGATTCGACATTGCCTTAAATCGCAAGCGTTATAAGCAAATACAGATGTTCACTAGCAGTGGAATCTAGGACGCGCGTTTCGTCCTATTTGGGACTCGTCAGCTGAATGCATTTACACGTCAGAGTTGGTGTTCACCGTTCGCTGTAAACACTACCGCGTTTTCTACTTAGCTAATGAGTCCAGAAAGCCACTGGCTTGTGCAGTGGGGTAAAGTTTAATTCATTTTTACATTGGTTGTTTGAATCGTCCCATTGATGTTTAGGACTGGAACTGAAACACGCTTCCTGGATTCCACTGCTAGCCATCACTCATCTTTGTATCCAAATATTAATCGTTTGTGAATGAGTATCTAAAATAAAAACTCTTACTTGGATCCTGATAAGCACATCGATGAATTTGGACTACCAGGTACTGAGGCATTGATTTTTGTATCCATGATTGCATTTTTGGAAGAACTTAGACCAAACTTCTTCGTGTCAAAGTTTACTTGATCACAGTTTTGTAACTCAACATCAATATTCTGAGGAGTGTCGCGGAGGTCACCATTTGATGCCATCACAAAAGAATGTATACCTTTTGATGGAACGGCACAATCCGTATGTGAGATAGCTCTCGGTTCATATGTTCTGTCAAATTCGATTCTGAAAAACAAAAGCTTTTAAATTTGTTTGAATTAACTGAGGTTAATAATAAATAGCAAAATCTCTAACGTAATTTTTTCAAACTCAAGTTTCTTGTATTAGAGTGCTTTCAAAGACTGAGAATACTAATGACATATTTCATCAATAAAACCAAATGATTTGGCTAAATTTGAGTTTGAAGAAAAGACCCTAAGAAGATAAACAATTCCACTCGAGACACATATGTTCCCGGCTGTCTACATGAAGTGATTGAAGATCGAACGCAGGAGAAAGATGCGCAAACAATGAGAGCACCCTTTTTTGCTGCATGTAGTATAATGTTCGTATTTTACTCCAGTTATAGTAGGGCCGACTGAGTTTCTATCCAGAGAAAACAAATGAATATACCACAAAACTTAAGGATTATCTCTAACTGCCTTTTATGACATTAATATAAAAAACATGTTTCATAACTATGATCTACTTGTTGAGAGTCAGTTAGATACAGTAATTACTTATTGGGTCTACAGCTCCATAAAACACGAAAGTTCAAATATATTACTAGTGTTTAAGATCTTGAATTAACAAATCTACCAAATCATAAAAAAGGGTTACTTAATAATAATACATCAAGTAATTTCTTTAAAACGAAACACAACACTAAACGTTTCCTTTATTTACTTGGGTAAAATAACTTGCGTATTGAGAGGTGTCAGAATATGGAAGAAGACCACGTTTAACACAAATATCTCACTTTTTGTCATTTTCCAAACGCTGAAAATTCTCCTCATCATCCAGTTCCCCAATAACTTGATTAATTTGTTCGTTATATATCCGTGTGTGGAGACTCTCTTCGTCTAAATTCAACATGCTTTTAAATTTTGATAATTCCTTCATAACTTTATTCTCTTTACTTCGCATTAAATCAAAGTCAACGGCACTAGAAGTTATAGAAGCCTCCAGTCTCTGAATCTTATCCTCATAGGTACTTCTTAAGCGATTATGCTCCTTCCCCAAACTTTCCAAAGCATTCTTCAAAAGTTCAGTTTGATGTTCAGTGCTGTAAACCTAAGAAATTAAAGGTATTTTGAACAACAAACTTTAGAATTCAATTCAGCAGTTTGCCGCTGCAAGTTAAGAATTGTTTGATCATTCTTCAGACATTTAGTCTTCAAAAATCGATTTTCTCTTCTCTCCGAAACCAACTGACTTTGCAAAGTAGCTATCTACAAAGGCAACAGGCAAGTTATTTTAAAAGTTATGTAAAAGTAAGAGTTAATCTAGGGTATAAAAATATCAACTAGAGCCTACTGGTTTCTTGTAGATGTCTGCAGCTTGCTGACGGTACTGAATAAGTTCCTCCTGGGCTTTGGCACGCAGTTGAGAGATGGCAGTAGAAATGGAAGCTTCCTTTCTGCGAGATTCTTCAACTTGGAAATCTTTTGCGGCGAACTGAGAGATATACCATTGTATTCTGTTTTGACTGCGACTAAGACGCTACAAAACAATAATATTTTGTTTTAGAAAAAAATACAAAACTGGAAAATTGGAGAATACAACAAACGGGAGATAACTCACCTCCTTCGCAAACAGTTTTTGAGAATTTAATGCCATCAATGCACTTTGAAGCTGATTAGCAGTCTCAGTGTATAGATCTTCAGACATTGAAAGTCTTTAATTCTACATAAATATTAAAGAATAGTACTTTTGCTTTAGAAAATTTATCTCCTCAGTAAGTTTCAATTTCACGTTCTCTTTCTCTTCCCCATGTGTCTCCAACTCTTGTACATGCATTTTCAGCGCTGTAATCTGATTAGTTTTTTCGGCAACGTCAGTTTTAAGATGACTTATCTCCAGAAGAAGTTTAGCATTTTTAGACGATTCCACTGAAATCCTGCAAAATACATACCAATCGTAAAAAACTGAACCTATCCAGAAAATGAGCGTCATTTTCTTTCCTTACTAGAATTTCATTCTCCAAGTCTCTTTTTTCGTCCAGTACAATATTTAGAGTAGTACTCAAGTGATTTATCTGGCATTCATAGGTCATTCGGAGTTGCTTAAGATCATTCTCTAGGCTGGATATCGCCTTTTTAAGGGAACTAACATCTTCCTCATTTTTTAGAAGCTTCACACGCTGGACATGAGTTGCGAATTGCTCACCTAACTCCCGAAGTTCATTTAACACACTTTCCATGATATTTGTATTACCACCGAGTAATTTTAATCGACTGTGTGATTTGGTTAAACAATTCGTATTCAATGTACCTACAATGCGCAAGCGTAAACCAATCAGCTATTTCTATCTTAACTCTTGGTGTTAAGACATGGTTCCAGTCATTTGGTGTCATTAATCGTAAACTGTCTGATCCAGAGTTCAGATTCGGATTTGTATATTATGGGCAGAAAGCCTATGGCCAATGTTATTCCTTTCCTAGTATGCTTCTGTGAGTATCCAGTCTTCTCTTCAATGAGTCATTTGAAGGTGCAAGTATTGATAACTCGGTGTGAAAACACGTATGACAAGGGTATTTTTTCGTTCCTGGCTTTTCTGCTCGCCTACTATGTCCTCTGAGATATCCCGATCTGATGGGAAGAAAAAGAGAGAATATGTTCGGTCCAAAATCATTTCTTTGTATTCTATACATCAAAGTTAGATCTCCCCTTAGTCTTCTATATTACGGAGTAAAGAGGTCTAGCTTTTCAAGCCGCTCTTTTTATGGTAAACTGCGGAGTCCTAGGATAGCGCTGGTAGCTGCTTTCTATACATTTTCCAGGATATCCGAGTCACCTTTTAAACAGGGGCTCGCAGCCTGAACGCGGTCCTCAATTTTAGTTCTCACTAAAGTTGTGTAAATTGTAGTGAACATGGTGGTGCCTAACTTAGTGAATGTCCGTTTTCAAGCCCAGAGGGTTCTAAACCCCTTAGCTGCGACCTCCCGGCAATGGGCTGTCATCTTAAAGTCATGAGTCGCTGTCACCCCAAGATCCTTATGAGACCGGACCACGGGTACAGGCACTTCCGCTGCGTTGTACCTATTAACGTTTGTATCTCCAAAGTGCATGTACACACACTTTGCTGTGTTGATAGTCATAAGCCACCCTTTAGACCAGTTAATCACAATATTTATGTGTGCCTGAAGTGTACATTCATCTGCGTCTCCCGTTATTACTCCTCAGATTTTTACATCGTCGGCATGTAACAACATTTGGGACTTTACTATACTTGTGAAATCATTTACATACAGTTTAAAAAGTAAAGGACCTAGGACAGAACATTAAGGTACTCCACTACTTACTGGTCTACAGGTGGGGCACTAGGAATTTATTCGTACCTTCTGTCTACAACCTACTAGGAAATCCTTGAGCCATTTTAAACGAGGTCCGGCAATACTAAGATTTTCCAAGTTCAATAGCAGACTATTGGTTGGCACCTTGTCAAATGCCTTAATTAAGACTATGTAGACAGCATCCACTGATCTTCTATTGTCTAGCGCCTTTATCCAGCATTACCTTACTATAAAAAGGTTCGCTGTACAAGATAAATCCTTTCTGAAACCATATTGTTCGTTGTTTAACAAGTTATAGGTTTCCACAAATGTCATTATGGTCTGTTTGACTATTCTTTCCAATATTTTGACTTCAACAATGGTGAGGTTGGCAGGTCTGTAGTTCGATGGAAGTTGTCTTGGTCCTGTTTCATGTATAGGAGTGACCGTTGCGTACTTCCAGCCCATAGGTAACACACCCTGAGCAAGTGACATATTGAATATCACAGTCAGTGGAGCTGCGATATATTGTGCAATATGTCTCAAGATTTTGGGGTGTAGTTCGTCAGGTCCTGTTGACTTTTCCATGCCTTAAGTACATCGTCTTGATCAAAGTCCACAGTGAACAGGTGGTTTGTTGACTCTGTATTTGGATCTGGTTCTTTGTCTAGAAGATGTTCCTGATTGAAAACCGCCCCAAAATAGCTAGCCATAGCCTCTGATATATCTTGAGTTCCCTCTATCACTCCAGATTCACTCCCTTATTTAATTAGGTTGGGAATCCGATGATGCATCCTTGTCCCGTGGTTCATGTACGGGAATATTCTCTTAGGCTGTTTGAGAGCAGATTGTGCCAAATTCATTTCATATTTTCTCGGAGCTTCCCGAATTTTCATTATACACGTGTTTCTTACAGATCTGTTGTACTAAGGCTGATGGCGAAATTCCGACATTTCTTCTTTTGATTTAGTAAACGTTGAATAACTCGGCCTATCCAGGGACGGCCGTACTTCTTCTTCTCCGGGACTGTCCAGGTTATGTATGGTTGAGTTACCCGATTGTATAACTGCCTGAAATGAGCTTATGTCTCTTGTACTGATGCCTTCGAGTCAATTCACCAGCTTTCAGCCGATGCTGCGGAGTTGATGGCCTCCATATCTGCCTTCCATATGTTAGGACGGGCCGGCACAACTGTTCAACAGACAATCTCAACCATGAATTTTAATAATATGACCTTTATGGACTCGTTTAAGTCTAGGGCTCATGATAACGCTCTCAAATTTCTCGAAAACGGAATTCTGTTCATCTTCTGCTGCCTGTTTATCAGAGGGCAATTTTCTAGCTATGTTCAGCAGCTCAATCGTCTCTAGAATCAGCAGAGACTTTGAAGAACAACATTCTTTGCACGACCAACGTGATAGTGGCTTACAGTACCGTTTATATGCAGCCGGCGTGAGCCTGGTGCACACATTGTGATAACACTTATTGCAGTTATGTCTTTCTATCCCATCGTCGACAGGGAAAAGCATGGAGGTCTAACATAACGATGTTTCAATGTCATCATAAGTTTGTTTTGTGTTTGCATATAAATAAAAACAGTCTAGCTACAACTGTTTGGATGATAAATGTCTTGGACAAAATTTAATGCATTTTTACTGTTGAACAGGATTGCTGGAGTTGGAACATATTACGTTATAAAGTAGTTAGCCAGTTTGTTGAATACTGGAAAATTTTCGAATCACATTAGGAATTATAAGGTGGACTTCTTAGACAGTCAGTAAAGATATAGTGTCGCATAGATTTATTCAGATCTTCGGACCTATTTGTTCCTTAATTCTGTTTTAACTGACTTTGGAGTCTTCAGCTAGAAAAGCATTGTGAACAACAGGTTCGTCGAGCACTAAACCCATGATATGTTTGCGCTATTTTATTTGTATGTTCTCTTCATGAAATCAGGTCGAACTCATAGCAGAATATTTGATGACTGGGTGAACTCCATTTGTTCGGTTACTCAAAAAGTTACTTTGAAGTAATATTCACTACACAACAGTCGCCATTATTTTTTTCGTTTAATATGCATAACTTGGTTCTTAGAATTAAGTTTGTTGTTTTTATATTTGAATTCTTCTAATCACTTTTAGCTTATCATTATTTTTTGCATGTTATCATGTCTTGGTTATGTTTTCTTTGATGTGCACCGCAGCGATCAACTACTAAAACTTCTGATGTTTTATATTTGCTCGTCAATCTTATAGGCAATTTCGCACCACATTCCTGTCCACAGTTATCATGCTTTTGACACTGCAAACAGTATTACAACTAAAGGCATGACAATAATTGACATACCTGTAGGATCCAAACCACGTTTGGACTTCTGGACAGCTGCTTGGATAAGTTGGATACACGCCCTTGCCCGTTTGAAATCAGAACAAGGTAATTGGGTAAGATAGCGGTTCTATAATTTATCATAAATTTAAGTATACATTATTACCTAAACAAATATAACCACACAGCTATCCAACCAATAATTGTTTAATTGATCAAATCTAAACTACAATAAATAAGAAAGTTGATAAAGAATGCAAGAAAATTACCAATCACCACAAATAAATGTTATTCTATCCTGTCTGGATAGATCACGTACAGATTCGTTCAAAAGGTAATAATTGGTCGCTCTATAACACAGAGTGTTTTCAATTCTGGAAGAGTGCTTCAATTCACAACCAAAATGCACAATTCCAGTCAACACAGGTCAAACAATCAAAAGCAGGAACCAACCAAAATGGCTGCCGCTCAGACTTAGTATAAAGTAAAACAACATAAGTGCAGTTCGGGAAGAAACATGGGGAATTAGTGAAGGTGTGGTAAAAACGAAAACTATAATAAAATACAAATATTAACAATTCAAATGTAGTCCAAAAGTTAACAATGTACAACTAAGAAGATCAATAGGAACAAAGTGCAAGTATATACATGGAGGGATTTTCACAAACACACAAGGCATTCAAAATGGATCTTACAATACCTTCGATACAACTGTTGAATAAGCACAACAATATATTTTTGTTATATCTTAACGAGTGAAAAAATTATACTTTTACGCTTCGTGACATAATCTCAGCCACTTCTTTAGGGTAAATAATAGCCAAAAAAGATTGTCGAATGACACCTTTTACAAGCCAATCCATGGTCTACGAATGAAGGTAGACAATACTCACATCTTCTAAGGCTCAAAATGATATTTCATACCACAGTCCCTCGAAATCTACTGATACCAGTAGTGAAATTTTCCATTGGACAAGATATTTACATGAATATTACTGAGTGTCAAATTGGCTTATCCATCAGAATACTTTTATCACCCACAGAAACTTTATGGTTAATTATTGAACTGTGCCAATTTTCCGAACCTTAAACATCAAAGATATATTTTTTCCCGAAATCGATCTGCCGGCTAGGTGTTGTAGGCCTAGAGATACTACAATTTGTTTGCATCAGATTCTTGGCATTAGTGACGGTCATCAGTGGGACTTCATCAAATTGTCTTGATGTGTGACTACAATGCTACCCTGTCATATGTCGTCATGGTATTTGCCAATCACTGTTAGAATGAAGGGAGAGAGTTATGTCAGTTGATATGAATATAAGTGTTTTCAGTGCTTTAACCTATCATGAAAAGTGGAGTAAAAATCACCTGAAAAGCAAGTGAATTATGGTCGAATGTCTGTGGCATCATACGTTGTGAGAATATAAAATTTTCAGTGTGACTTTGCAAGTTGTAATCTACTTAAGTGTGTTGAAACCTAAATGTCACAGGCATTTACAGCAGATAACACACCAGCCTCCTAGTAAATAAAATGATCGTACAGGGTATAATTGTGAAATCAAGTCACTGGTTGTCAGAGGGACAATAGAAATTATTGTCTCCAACAGCGTTCTATTTTGTCTCAAGTTT